TCGAAGGAGGTTGCCTCGGAAACAGCGTCAGCAAGAATGGTACAATAAAGCCAATCGACAGCTGATCAAGAGGAATCTGCCGTCATCTTCTGGTGGAACCGACCTTAGAATCTCGAAATGGAAGTGAGCCCAACAATTATGAAACAAGAGATTCCTCGAAACCCAACTTTTCTTCGGATATCAGAAGCTTATGACTCATTGCTTCTGAGTTCTGGGAAGAGGAACTGAAAAAACGAATCAAGCTTTTTCTTGGAAGCAGATATCCAAAGTAAGCAATTTAATGCAACCTACGGCCGATACTATCAAAATGGAATATTCGTACCATCCTCCTGAAGGGAAAGACCATCCTCTTCGCCAGTTTGCCCAAACAGCATGAAGCAGTCAACAAAATAGAGTGCTCCGGAGTTTACGGCATAAACTGCAAAGACATGAACAAAAAACCATCGGAGAGTCGGGAAGGACAATCAGCACAAAGATCAAAGAAGACCGGCGACTATGCAGAAAATGGATACGGAAAGATCCGAGATAGCTGAACACATCGCCATTACCGGCCACACGATTGGCTGGAAGGCAACAGAAAGACTGGCCTCATGTGGAGGCAACATTGGGAAATGGAAGATCAGGCAGACTGTAGACATGCTCGTCCAAAGAAACCTGATGAACAGGAGCTTAGAAGCGGGAAGAGTCAGACGTAGAATTGGCCAAACATTTGCCCGAGGGGTTGACATGTGATATGTATGATATAGATGGGCCATATATAGCTGACGAGTGTGTGTGTGTGTGTGTGTGTTTACGTATATAATTTGTGTCTGTGCCTGAAGTGGAGATGACTGCTGGCATGCTTGACCACGGCAGATGATATCAAACAAACACATGAAAAGCTAGAATTAGATGGGAATGTTAACTTGAAAGACGAGAGGAGTGTGATTTTTGCAACTCAAATAAAAAAAATGCAAAAGGTACAATTTCATACCAGTGCATATGACTTGAGCGGGACAGAGGACACGCCAGAATAGTGGTCTTTCTCGCTTTGATTTCGATAGTTACTCAATTGAACAAATTTTTTGTGGTCCCTAAGCCTAGATTTGCCCAACTAAAGTGACTTGGAGATGAAAAGATGCGTCAAAATGCTGTTGTCCCACCTGAATTCTTCTGTCCTCAATCTCTTTGTGGCTTATCTGCTGTGCCGTCTCACTGCATTTCTCGGTTTCCGCCAGCTCGTTCGAGTCCGTGCTTCGTGCATTCGAGCGCCGAGCAACCGCCAACTCGACCATTGCGACGGACGGACATTTCGAAGTCTTTGCGTTGAGCGTTGGCATCTGCGGCCCGGGGAGATTGGTCAAGATGGTGAATCGGTGCGGTTGCGTGCCCAGCGCCGGATCGGCCGTCAGACTCAGAGTCACGGGCACGCGACTCGAACCTGCGATTGTATGGCCAGAGCTGGAAGCCAGGCCGCTCGGCGATGCGCCGATGTCGACTCTCGACAAGGTCAAGCCCAAGCCCGAGATC